GGTGGTTCGGTTGAGACAAAACACTGGTTTAGAGCAAGGTTTTTCACAAGGAGTTCTGTGTAGATTATGCTTTCATGAGAACTTGATGGAGCTCCATAAGAGACTAAAGGCAAAACAAGAAAAAAGTTCACTCAAACACAGCCAATCTTCTGTCACAAGAGTTTTGTCTCTTGATTAGGGGTTCCAGGATTTTTTTTTTTTAACCAACAGGTTCCATGGCCTGAAAAAGTTTGAAAACCCCTGGTTTAGAGGAGCAGAAGAACATGCGGTTAAATTTGTGCTTGATCCTTCCTGAAGTTCACCGACAACAGAAGATCTGTTACTGCCTTAGTGTTCCAAGCAGTATATCTCTCTGGTTCATGAAATTTTAACAACATGTACCCTTCTGATTTCCACAAAATTGCTGCTATTTTGATTTGGAAGATCTTAGCTTTCAGTCCTTTTAAGCCAATTTCTAGTCCACCTGACTGCAGTTTGCACAGAAATGTGTTTGAAAATATATTGGTGATACCTAAAGGCAAATGGGAAACTGGAATTTTGAACAGATAAAAGTCTAATGAGCAGGACTACAGTGTCTTTCAAAGTTCTTCCTGTTCATCCATTGGTAGAAAACTAGCCAAACTCAATTGTATAAAGTAATATAAAAGGAGGAACCCTGAAATACTATGCAAGATAGTTCATTTTACATAATTTCTGCAGACTGTAGAAAGATCAGGATAGAGTACTTCCACATGAGGACTGTACTACTTTGAAAGTATCTCCAGATCTCTGTATTCATAAATCTGTGTTCAGATGTGTAGATGATTTATTTCTGGCTCATGTGCTATATATCTGAAAATGCAGTAAAAGAAGCCTTTCTTTAAATCACTGCAGCTCAGTAGACCTTGTATGTGGTTCAGCCTCCCATTTGCAGAAACTTCTACTTTAACTCCCGGTGTTCTGCACGTGAGGGAAGGTGGAACAAATGACATGTTTGATCATGACATAATACAAATATTGCAGCTTACATATTTGCATCAGGTGTCATGACATCATTATATAATAATGCCAATTAAGGAATGGCATAATGGCATATCATAAGTCTCATTGTTTTGACATCCTCATGGCTTCTGAAAGATGCCACTGCTTCTCCAGATTTTTTTTTTTTTGGCATACAATCAGACAAATGCACAGCAACATGACGTAAAAACATGGATGTGTGTGTGTATACAAGCAATTTGCTTTATTTCTCTTTTGTATGGTATAGCAGTGAGAAGATCACTGCTGATTACAGCAGTATTGAAGACAGCTTGTGGGACTTCTGCCTTTTTTTCCCCCCAGTTGTGCCAAGTTAGCATGTTTGAAGCGGACTGTGGGTTCCTCTTCCAAGTTATTTTTGTGTGTCTGGGGAAGAGAAGCAATGCTACACATAGATCCTTTTCTTTCCACCTCAAGATCTGTACACTTCCAGAAAACATACGTGGAAGTTGAAGCTCTCTGCAAGTTCCCTTTGTCTAAAAATTAACATGAAAAGTTGCCTGAACCACTTCACTACATTACTGTAGTAATCTGTCTGCAAGGCAAGCATATTTGCACACTTTCTCTAATATACTATTAGGTTTTAAGCCAGCAAAGGAAAAAGGTTCATGCTTTATGCAACAGGGTATTGGTGCCAAGTAATTATAATGGATTTGCATAACTAATTAAGCCATTTATGTAGGTAATTACACAAGTTATATATCTTCTAGAAACACATACGTTTTTCAGTCTAGTTCTCAAAAATGTAAATCATTAGTGGTTGATAGTCTGGGACAGCAAATGGCTGATAATGCATAAAATAACTAAGTCTGCACTGATGCGAGACTGCTAAAAAAAAAAAAAGGCAGAAAATAGAAATCACTGAGGAACCATCTCATAAGTGGTCAAAGCCCTCATTTTCATTTCCACTTGTACTGAATTTGGAAACTTTTTGCTATTTCTTCTCTCAGCTTAGCAATTGTGCTGGACAGAAGCACAGGTTCATGGACAAGAAGAAAGAGAGAGCAATCACTTTTTTTTTCTTCCTCACGCTGGAAAATCCTAAAGAACGTAATTTAAGCTTTTACTCCTCTCTTAACTTACTGCTAATTCCACTTCCTCTTAGCAAGGTCATTCTGTGATTTAATTTTTTTTAAAATTAATGTTAATGTTTTTAAAAGGTTAGTTGCTTTCAAGATTTAGGATAGTCTTCTCCAATATGGTGTCCTGAAAATGTGTTGCTCTGTAATATGCCTCAGCCACAGCCAGCAAGCTGGTGAAGCCAAAAGCTGTGGGTTTAAAGAATTATAACCCAACCCATATGCAGGGCATTATGTTGAGGCTGACAGGCTCAATGAAGTCCGAAATAAGTAAGTTAGACAGGGAGAATGGTCATGTTTTTCATGCTCTTCAATTGAAAGTGTCAAAAGAAAACAGTTGAGATCCACACTTTTGCAGAACAGGCCTTCTAATGTCTTTTTGGATTTGCAGAATGCTTGGATGTTATTTACATCTAACAAGTCCCCACTGCTGGTGGGGCACAGGGCCAGTGGAATGAACCGGGTGACAAGTCATTTCTTTGTCTCGCTTAAAACTTGGTATAGAAAGGCCGTGTTACAACAGAAAAGGAAACCAAGAAGTGTCTCATTTATTCTTTTCACACTGAAAAACGGGGACGTGAACATTTCTGCTTCCCTCCACTTGAAGGGAAGAGGAAGTTCCTAGAGAAACTCAAAAGGCACCCTTATCCCAGCTTCTGACCTCAAGTCCAGAACAAAGCTTGGAGACAGCCTGGGTTGGCCTTTTACCATCATTCAGAAGTAGCAATAGGGATGATCCCAAAAGCCAGGTGGATGTGAGCAGAGGTCTAAAGAGCCTGAGTTTTCAGTAGGAGGCTGAGCCAGGCTTTTTGTGCTGTAGAACAAGGCAGGAGGCCCTCTCCCTCAGCTGGGACCAATCAGCAAAGCTTTTTTCAAGAGTTCAAGTGCACAGTGAATTCCCCAGGTTCTCTTTATGCCATCATAATTTAGGATGAACTAAGCAGTGGTTGCAACAAAAGTCACAGTCACATGCTGAACTCAGCAAAATGGAAGGGAATAAGCCCATGCATATCCCAGAGCTCAAGTGGAAGTTGGTGTCTGTGTGTTTGAGTGTGTGAATTAACAACATGTTTTCAGTCATGATGGCAAGGACATCTGCTTTTTGGTAACCCTTTCTAAGGCTGTAAATAGAATTATTTAAATGTATGCTGTTGATGTATGGGAAAAGCCAGCTTTAATTTGGCTGACGCTCCCTTAAAAAATGGTTCTTCTAGATGTATTGCTCCCTACCACACTCCTATCAGGTTTATTCTTTGGAAAAGTTATCCTGCATTAATCCCCATCTTGTATCTAAGTATAAAAATTGGCTATGCTGGCTAAGGGTACTGGGAGTTCAGTAACATTTGGAGAATTATAGATTGCCATCTCTCATTCGTAGCAATACTTTATTTACATCACTGATGTTGGAACTTGGATCAAGTACATGTTTGTCAATTTTTAGATACTGCAAAACTAGTTTGGGCAAAATATAGGGAAAAATCAACTAATGAGTATTTAAAACATTTGAACTTGAAAAACTGCCAAGTGTGGTAAATAAAAGGAAAGAGCAAAATACTTTACAAGACACTTTACTTTCATTGTATTTTGGAACAGAGTTACTGGGTTAAGTAATTTAATTATTCTTGGACCAGGATTCTGGAGTCTAGAGAAGTTTTGTACAGGTGAAAATATATATTTTTGGCATTCAAAATAATTTACTTAAAAAAAAATCACTATTCTCTAATTAAATATTTGGGCATGGTTTTCCATAGCTCTACCAAAATTATGTCATACAAAATGCTCAAAAAACAGTGGCCACAATTCAATCTTTTCACTTCAACCAGAGGACCACAACATATCCCAGCACGCTGAAGCTAGATTCATGCACAACTACTTTTCAGTGTCCAGCTAGGATCTTATACTTCCTTTACTCCTCTTGAAATGGTCCAGTACTCCAATACCCTTAGCCAGCATAGCCAGTTGTGAGAGATGATGGTAATAAATTTCTCCAGTTTTGTAAAGGGTTTAATATAATGATATGGCATAGAACATAATGTGTTATAATGCTGTTAAATATATCAGTACGCTAAACCGTTTAATTTTTATTTCTTGTAAAATAAACTCATATTCAAAAAATATTACCAACAAATGGTATCCCAATTATTACTCCCAAAACATTCTGTCAGAATCATTCCTCAATTTGGAAACACGTGCCAGATCTGTAGGACTTGTATTCCACCGGATGACCAAAGGTGAGGGATGCTGAGAATTGTAGTTTATTTATTTTATTTGTATCCCACCTTCCCCTCTTCCTATTTTCCCCCCACAACAACTTTTTGAGGAAGGTAGGGTTGCGAGAGACTAATTGCCCAATTGTGAGTTCCCACAGCTGA